GGGAGAAAACCACAAAAGAAATTGCTTTTGTTATAGAAGGACTCAGGGCTTCACTCAAATACCTCACTTGAAGGTACTGGAGGGCTCTGACTAACAAAGGGATATTGAATGAATCTTCCCAAGATTTATTTACCTTAAATATGTGATAACTCCAACAGCCCTGAGGAGAGAGGGAACAAAAATGTCAGGTATTTGTCACTATTTCTCCATCCTTCTGAAGCACACAGCCCCTCTTCCACTAGACAACCTAGCAGAGAAAGATCACCTTCTCCTCTCCTTTCCAAGCAAAATAAATCCCAAAAACTATGTTTTTCATCCTCCATTTTTTTTCCATTCAACATTTTTAAAAAATTGTTCTCAAGTACTCCTCCATTTTTAAAGCACAAATAGAGGAGAAGACTCAAAATTTTTAGTTTGTTTACTTTTTCTAGGAAGCCCCTTAGGATCATCCTCTCCAGTTGCTGCCGCTAATAAAGATCATACTATCTAAGATGCTCCTTTGCATTAATTAGCTGTCAGAGTTCAATTATGGTTGAATAAAATAGAGAGAAGAAGCTTTAAAGAGCCCTGACGGGTTTTGGATTCTCAGTGTTCACTTGCAGTTTCCTGTGTTATTATCACTACTCAATTTACTTATTAAAAATTAGTGGATATCCAGGCTGTCTAGGGCAATAGCTTTTCAGAAAGATGACAGGTTACCAGATATCAGTTGCTTTTGACACTGGAGACTGAGTAACAATTTCTGGGGCAACAAACTCTGGGGACCCATATTTGCTGAACTGGGGCTCAAAGGGCGTGATCTTCTGAGCAAATCCGAAGTCACAGAGCTTAAGGTCTTCCCTTTCAGGATAAACCATGAGGATATTCAGTGGCTAGTAAATGAAATAAAACAACGGGAGAAACTTTACTGAAAGCAGGCAATATTTTCAGTTGTAAGAATAACTTGAATAGAGAACACCCATTCCCTGACCAACAAGAAATTATGACAAGCTAGTCTTGCTATTGCATATTACCTTAATATCCAAATGAAGGATGTTGTTGTCATGAAGATATTTGATTCCTTCCAAAATTTGCTTGATATACAATTTAACCTAAAAATTAAATTAATTATTAATCAATTGTTAAACATTAATAGTAAATAAGAGGGTCCCTGATTCCACCAACATTTTTAATATATGAGAGTGGGAGAGATTGAACTTCTAAAACTAGAATGAGATTCTTATATTAGTCTTGCAGTTGAAAGACGTGAACCTAACCTGTGAAATGAAGCTGTGCCTCTTGTGTGACACACATTATCCTACTGGAACCTTCTATATGTGAAAAAATCATTACTTAAAAAAACCCACAACCCTACACACATGTAAAAAACAGATACAGAAATCCTCAAGTTCAGTGGCTTTTACCAACTGTCCAACTTACCTAACTCAAACTTGGCTCTGGCTTGGAGTAAATCGAACACATTTAAAACACAAATACATTTTGCCGTTTTACAGCTATGTTGTTAACCTGTTTTTTTGACCATATGTAGATCCAATCTGACTATGACCGAAAAAGAAGTGAAGATTTACAGCTACCTTCAGCTTTGGAAGTCCTCTACCTTTGACATTCTATAGAGTTGGCTGACATTTGATCTCAAAGGACCTATCCAACTCAAACCATTCTATGATTCTGTGATGTTTCCCTCTGAATATTCCTAAGAAAAATCCATTTTAGCCATAAATATGGGACACCTGGCTACTAGATGGGAGATGTGAAACATCCGTTCAGCCTGGAGAAGAGAGAGGGAGGTTGGAACTAGATGATACTTAAGTTCCCTTCCAACCTAAGCCAGCCTACGATTTTGAACTTTGAGCACTAAGGATCTCAACAAAACCCTTAGAAACTGTAATTTCAGATCTCGGTTTGGAGATTGAAAGGGAGTAGATAGAAGTAGAATTGCAAGGGCGTAAATTGTTATTAAGCATGTGAAGATAGAGGAGCTCCATGTGATGGATAGCAAAGAAATTATGATAATAGAGCACATATCATCTGTATTAGGCTGAATGCAATGCTGATGGTCAAAACCACTGACTCTTTCCAGTTATTCCCCAAAGAAATTCACCTCAGTAATGAAAACTGATGAAAACACATTTTAAAGTCTGATTCTGTTTTGACAGATTATCACTGGTTCGAAGACATTCCTTATTCAAAGAGGAAAATGCAGCTGGAAGATACTCTGGAAGTCCACCAGCTCTGGACTTTCAAATGAGAAAGAAAGATTACCTCTGCTTCAGTGACAACACTCTTCTTGAATAAACGATCAAGGAGCTCTTCGCTGGAGCATCTGGCAACAGCATTAAGGGAAAACAGAACTACAGTTAAAAGCTTATTTTTACTTTGTAACCAGCTCTATCCAGCTAACAGCAGAATTCACAAGGTGATCTCAAGCAATGTGATGTGCATTTAATTCATTAAAATCTCTATTACAGCCATGTCCTTGCAGAATTGGGCTGCTCTAAACTTGTGCTCCCTATAAGTAGGAGCATGGTGTCACTTGTGCTAACATCTACCTGTTGGCTATGGGCTTTTCTGCTCTGCACTGCATTTCTCTCATGCTCACCTAGACTGGATCTCATGGAAACAGAGACCTTAACTTCCAGATGTCTCAGAAAAGAGTTTTGGTGCTTAACACCTCATTTACACTTGCATTTACAAGTATAATTTTTCCTAAAACAGCAGAAACACATTACCTCAGTGAAGATCTTAGAGAGCTATGCTATCCTGTAGTGCAGAGAAAGATCGTGCATGTCCTGTTATCTCAAGCAAAACAAAAAACTGTTAAATGATTAGTTATTTAGTTAAATGAGCTCTACCTAGTACTTCCCAGCCTCCTCAGACAAGCAGCACAGAAAAGGATACAACTCCAGAATCAAAATCAGTGTTTTCCGTGTTTCAAACTGATCCAGGAGCCTGGTAATTCTGTCATGGGACAGAGAGGCAAGAATATCCCTCTCCTGATGCGCTCGAGCCTTCGTTTTGCTTCGCAGGGGTATGAATTTAGCAGCACAAGACACTCTGTTCCCTTTGTGTACAACTCGTTTCACGAAGCTAAAGCAGCCCCTGGTAAAAATCAAAAGACAAGCACTGTTCAGACTCGGTTCAAAGCCCAGCAGGTGTAGACCTTTTCACATCCCAGCCTTTGACAGCTCCCTTCTGCTCAGGGCTTAAACTCTCCAATATAAAAAGCTCATTTTCTTGATTGTGAGGTGCTATTGCCCTCTCCTGGCTATCTCCAAAACTAAGCACCAAGTTCACATCAAGGGAAAAGCTGTTTCAGGTGGCAGTCTTGTGCTGACAAAGGCTGATTGATGGTCTTGGGTCCCTTGGATGGCCTCACTGCTTGTCCATACATCAATATGGGCTTGTGTGGAATGATTTAGAAATTAAACTTGTATTTTAAAGTGTATCATTGTTCACACATAAAGGAAAAACAGACTTTCAGGGTAAGATGCAGCTGCAGCTGGTATGCCAGGAATTCACACCACAGCAGTTCCCGTGGCAACATTGCTTGACAGAGGATGGAGGGGAGTGGAGATTCTGCTGCCAAGCTCTGTCCCAACACCAGCAGAGATGGGAACTAGGTGGTACTTGAAACTGACAAGCTGCCTAATTGCTGCCCTGAGCCAACAGTCTGTCATCCTTTGACAAAATGCTGTCCTTTGTGTGAACTTTGCTTTATTATAATGCATTTTAATACCAAAACACACCTCCATCTCCAGTGCTACCCACCTCTAAAGTGAGACCACCCCTCTTTGAGCATGCTGTTTGAATTTCTTGTGGTATATACCTCTAAAAGCGAAGCGAGAGAATTTTACACCAATAACAATAAAGGTATGTATGACTAGAGTCACTCAAGCTCCACCTTGAAAGTGAAAAATAGTATAAAAATGGCCCAAGGAGTGGGGGCATTAGGGAAGACTTCATGGGTGAGTCAAGGAAGATTCCATCAACAGATTACCCCTGATTCCTGGGACCGGTTGACAGGCTGGACCTTTCTTTCCCCCCATAGGGATGCCTTTGGGTAAGACTTGCACTGTATCCAGTGCTTCCCCGGGAAAATTAGGAATCTCTATATAGAGTTACTTTTTTTTACTTTTATACTTTAAAGCCAGGCTGTATTATTCATAACTTTGTCGCATGTTTGTATATCTTATTATTTGCACGTGCTTTTGCAGACAGTGTATTTATCACCGGCAATCCATAAGAACCTGAATCTGTTGCTTTAATAAACTGCACTGTTTAAGTAGCTAGTCATAACTCTCTCATTGAACATGACCAGAGCCTTCAGTGTGGCCATGTTAGCTCGTGAGCACGATTAGACTGAAGGTGCAGTGCACTATTAGTGCATCTGGAATCATGATTATTCAATACATTGATTGCAACCGGACTGATAGTGGTAAATTGGGCATCACTCAGAATCTAAGCCTAGCTGCACCCATCCCCTTTAATATCTGAGGACCAGCTGGAACGCAAGGGGGTTTATTTTCTGCCAAATTCCCTTACCTGAATGCAACAGGTTGTGATGCTAATACTGCCAAGAAGCCATACCAGGGCACCTATCTTGCCAGGATCTATGAATGGGCTGTATGTACTCTACCATCCTCTGTCAGAAACTTCAGGGAAATGTTTCCAGCACATCGGCAATGGGTGACTTCTCAGTTCTGCCAGTACTTTCACCTTTCCTTATTTTATCACAGATGGGCCCACCACTGGTTATATATATGCTCAGCAGCTCAGATGGGCAATTAGATATTCTCCAGCAGGGATGTCATAAAGTTGGAAAACTCATTTACCTTCCAATCTCCTGCTTAACCTCATAAAGGGAATGGAGCTTTCTCCTGGTGGCCACTTTCTTTGCTGCTTGGTCTTTCTTAGCTTTGGAAATGAAAGAAAATAAGTGTTAATATTCATACAACAATGCCTTGCTAATAGTGTGCAAAGTTGTAAAAGAGCAACTTAGGGCAGGAAAAATTACAGGCATCCTTTAAACTTGAACACAGAATTAAATGGAGCTGCTCGATGACAGAACCTATCAATATGAACTCTGTGGCTGCATCTTTACCTGACATAAATAGAAGACACAGCCTCAAGAGCAGAACACCACCGAAGACATAGAATCATAGACTGGTTTGGGTTGGAAGGGACCTTAAAGCTCATCCAGTTCCAACCCCACTGCCAAGGGCAGAGACACCTTCCACTAGAGCAGGTTGCTCCAAGCCCCGTCCAACCTTGTCTTGAATACTGCCAGGGATGGGGCAGCCACAGCTTCAATATATCTCAATGGGTGGGTGTGTGTGTGTATGTGTGTGTGTGTGTGTGTATGTGCCATACTGGTAACAGACAAATGCTATGCAGGAATACAGAGCAGATACCACATGGGCACCAGAAGATTACTGCAACAGAATACATACTGCAATGGCTATGGAAGCAACTCCTGCAGTGGAAAGAATGACATTACCTTCACGTACAACAAGCTCTGCTTTGCACAAAACCTCCCCTCCTGCATTTTTGGCAACACAGGTATAAACACCACCATCTTCCAAGACAGCATTATCCACGACTAAGAAATATGTTGTTCCTTCATTCCCTTGATGGAGTCTGTTGCTGTCTGTCAGCAGTGAAGTGCCCTGAAATAACGAAGTAACAGTTCAGCACTGGAAAAGTCAAGATGGAAATGGATGTTTCCTCACTTGAAGAAACAAGATACATGAGCACAGCTACGACACAGACCATTTAGGCTAGGAAATCTCACTAACAAAGTGCTGGCTGAAGACGTTCTCCACATCTTTCTTTGCTTCCACATCACCCAATGATATTTTCGTTTCATAACTGACTCACAGGAATACAGGCTTGGGAGGGATCGCTGGAGCTATGTGATTTATCCTTCAGTTCTCCCAGCACACTGTGCCTGAGCAGTCAGCCCAGGGAGCACAAGGATCACTTACTGTGCTTCTGCCTGGTCACCAGCTTGTGCTGGCACTTGTGGTGTCCAGTATATGCATAAATGCTATGGAAAAAAGGGACAGGAGGGAGAGCATGTGATACAGCAGATTATGAAGATTTGCAAAAGGACCTTGTGAAACTGCCTGTCTGGGCAGTAAGGTGCCAGATAAATGTATGTAATACAATAAATGTGAAGTGATGCAACCCTGTTCTCCCACATGAAATGTTGGTCTCAGAGCTGTTGCTTATTACACTGGAGCAAAACTTCTGGTTGCAGTAAATCACTCCATGGCAGTTCCATCCCAGTGCTTGGTGGCCATCAAAAAGTACCATGTTAGAAATTATGAGGGAAGAAATTAAGAATGAGACAGAAAGCACCATGTTATAAATCCTTGGTTTGCACAGGGTGGGGTACTGTTGCAACAATGTTCTTTCTATAACATCTTCCAGATGAGGACTGACAGAGCAAGTTGGAGCTCTTCAGCCTGGAAGGGGCGGTCTAGCAATATGACATGGTAGCGGTGTGCAGAGTTATGGAGAGCCTAATGAGTGGGCAGGGATTAACTTTTCCTTGCACAAGATGTAAGAACCAACACATGAAGCTGGTGGCAAATATGTACACAACAGCCACAAAGAGGTGGCACTTCAGGCAACATACTGTCATGGCGTTGGACTCCTTGACAAAGGACACTGTACATGCAAGGCATTTGCATGGGTGCAAGAGGAGATGAGATAAGTGTGTGGAGAGCTTTGCTGTGGGTTAGTAAATAGGTAAAATTTCAGCTTGCTTGCCATAACTCTGAGCTGAAATTATCAGCTATTGCAAGAATGACAGCGTGTATCATATATTGTTGCCTCGTTCTTATTATTTTCAAGATATTCAGGTGTGTGCATGTGGGAGGGGGCTCTTTGCATTTTTGCTTGTGTTTTTTAAGGTTGTTTTATTTGTCTGAGTAGCCCATCCTTTCACTTCCCATATGGGAAAAAGAAAAAAAAAAGGAATAAAACTTGTGTGTACAGAACAGTTGAACAGGGGAGTTACAGGCAGCCATCATAGAACAACACTGGCTCATTTCAGGGATGTGACTGGGGAATAATCAGTTATTTCTCCTTCCTTTCTATGGGATATTCATTGTCCTTAGTCACACTCATTTTACCAATTAGCTGCATAAAAGATACAGTGCCCGGAAATCACATTGACAATTGGGATTAACTACTCTGAATTCCTTCCCTGCCCCCAGAACAGCAGCCCTCATCTTTGTGGCTCTCAAAACAGGAACCAATCTCCTTTCGAGCCCATCTTGGTCCCCAGAATTATCTTGGTTGCCTGCTCAGCAAAAGGAGTCATGGTGACACTGGAGGCAACACAGAATGAGATGCATGGTTGGTGGTTCCAGTGACAACTGCAGCTGGTTCAACAAAGTCTATAGATAGGGCCCAGAATCAGAGTAAAATGTGTGGGATGAAAGGAGCAAAAGAAATTCCTCACAGAAGTACAGCCCTACAGTCCTTTTTGCAGCCCTTACTCTCAGACAGGGAAAAGTTTGCACTTACCTTAAACCACAAAACAGTGGGCTGAGGGGTTCCTTCAATGACTGCCTGAAATTTGGCACGCTCACCAGAATTCACCTGCACATCCTCTATTGTCACTTGCATATAGGGAGGACCTGGTGAGACACAAGGTTTTGACGTAAGCACGATACAATAACTTTACTCATAGTGTGCTTATATAGGTTAAATTACTCAAATGGGATTTATTTGACTGGCCATTTAGGATATAACATTAGCTTAATGTCAAATCAAGAGATACCACAACAATATACTTGTGTTTCTTTACACAAGCACTACTTTTTGGCTTCTTATCTTCATGACAAGAAGTTTATTACTTTTTGTTTAATAAGCAGTTACTGCTGAAGAAATGGAAGCATTATAAAATAAAAAACAAACAAAACCCACAGCAGTCATCAGGTGTTATTACCCAAAGAGAAGACAAAGACAATTATGGGATGTGGGAAAGGGAAACAAGGTTTTCTTACTTGTTGGGGTCTTCTCCTCAGTCTTATACACACAAGTTCTTTCTGTGGTCTCAATGTAAACTTCACTGTGTACATCCCAGACTACATCTCCTTCTCTTCTGTACCAGTCTTCTGTCCCTGGTGATGTTCTTTCATGAAGCCCAAGAGAAAAGATCATTACATAGTCACATACAACTACAGACATGCAGGATTACACCCTGACATTGATCTTTGTGTTTAACCACTATACAGATAATTATTTACTTAAAATTAATACAAGAAGAATTTTGTTTTGGGGGAATTATGTTCTCTCCAACCTGTTATATCCTTCTTGCATAATGCATGTGTGAACAGAATTCTAAAAAAAATAACAAATTTACAGGAATCAGTTCAAGTCACCACTTGCTTCCTCCACCACAGGGGACTTGCTTTTCTTACAACAAAGCCTGCCACATTCGGAAATGTGTATATTGAGATGGGTGTTTATTTACCTGGTAATAGGAACAGTGCGCTCCTGAGCGCTTTCCTCTCCGGCAACTGTCTCTTCATGGGAAGGACTGGGACTGGGCTTTGGCACACCTGGTTCTTCAGTTAGAATCTGCCTTTGTGCTTTTTCTGGCAGCAGAAATAGGGCAAGTTATACACATCACCTATGACAGCACACCTGAAACCCAGAGCAAACCTTTGGAGCCATCTCTAGTCTGCCTTGTGTCAGAACCACAGCTGTCTGACCTCAGCTGAAGCTAAGAGGAGACCACATGAAGCAAAGGGCTTGAATAACACCAGTGAGACTGAACAGTGGCACATTGCTGACTGGGCAAAACTATTCTGTAAGGAAACACACACAGATGAAAATAAGAAAGGCAGTCAGTAGGGACAAGAACAAATGGGATGACTGGAAGCATAGCATGAGCTCAATACATCCTTTATAGGAGATAATTTAATGGTGTTTGGGTTCCAGCTCATGGCTATGATGAAATCATAGAATCATTTAGTTTGGAAAAGACCCTTAAGATCATCAAGTCAAACCGTTAACCCGGCACTGCCAAGTGCACCACATCTACACATCTTTTAAATACTTCCAGGGATGCCCAATGTTAGCTTTATACATATGAATGCTTCAGTTAGATGTTGTGTTCTTGACCCATTGGTGCAATCACAGACAGCATCAGTGAAACGAGTAAGCTTATATTCAGTGTAAAACTGGTGGTCATGGCAGGCCCTGGCTGGGGATACAACTAATATGGAGATGATATGGAGGTTTGTTAGTATGGAAGACCTGGTGATGTTATAAAGTCAGCACTGGTGCACCTCCACTGGGTTCTTTGTAAATGTCCTCATACAACTCTAAGTTTCACTAGAATTAGGTCTGGCACATGGGGCTTATAGGAACAAGGAAACAAAAAGATGGTGCAGCTTGATGGCAGTTCAGGTATTGTTCTTTTATTATTAATTATTTTATCAGATATATCTTCAAAACGTGGTTTGATCTTCCATTCCAGAAGTAGTCTTTTATATTGTTCTTTGTAGCTACCCTACAGGATAAAGTGCATCGTCTCTTTTTTCATCTGAGGAGAAAAGGTTAAACCAAGACGAGTCTTGTCCCCAGCAGGAAGGGCCTTTTTGGGGACCATCTAGAGATGTTTGGAGCTGGGTGGTTTTGGAATAAAGGCATCAGTTTTCTAGCAATCACATAAAACAGCTCTATTGGGATGGAAAACATGGTTATTCAAGGCTTTACTGGCAGGGTCAGAGTTCCCAGATTGGTGGGTTTGTGCTTTTCTATTGCCAGCACGATCAAAATATTTGCCTTCTTTTTATTCAAAGCATGTGATGATAGGGACAATTGTCAAGCCTCCTTTTTATTAAAGTAATTCTCCATGTTAATAATATGTTTAGTTTTCTGAGAGATCTCTCATCTGAGAGATGCAAGGACTGCAAAACCATCTTATTCATTATCATACTGTGTCTGTAGTTATGACTAAGGAAATAATCTGCTAGTTGACATTAATTATGATTTTGGAGTCATCCCGCTTCATGAGAGGATTATTTCTGTAGATGATTTACTACTAGAAAGGAAAAAAGATTTTAAAGCTCTGCCATTTTTTAATGTAGTTATTTTATGTCTGATTCCACTAAATCTATTTCTAACCTTGTTAAGTTTTAGACAGGAATATATTTTTTTTAAAACAGCATCTGGAGTTTGAAGGTTGAAGAATACTTGACATTGTCATTTTAAGTCAACACTGGTGGAGGACAGTTACTCTGAAGACACAGACACACCTTAGACATGTTGGCATGGCAGAAGAAGGAGGAAAACTGGAAGGGATGCTGCTTATTTGTGGTTTGATTTTGGGTTTTTTTTTCAGTGCCAAGATGGAAGACTTGTTCTGGCAAGACAGTCACACATATCATTGGTTTTAGTCACACAGAAACTGATAAGGAGTCTACTAAGGCTCCAGAACCAGTAACATGCAGGTGAACTTGATGCACTCAACATACTATAAAGCCTGATAGCTGATACAGGAGTGTTAAACACATTTCCAGCTTGTTTATGGCAAACAATAAAGGAAAAGCAACCTCTTTTACTCTCCCTACCAAATAAAAAACTTATATAAATGTAAAGGTGGACTCCCATCCCCCCTTATTCCCAAAAAATGTTTGAAGAAAGCCCTGGGTCCAAAGCCCAAACGTGGAAAAAAATCCCCTATCCCTCCATTTTGGGCAGGTGATGAACCAAACTGTACTTCAGACACAGTTTTCTATTTCCAGAAAGATCTGCCCCAAACTTGTGTCCAACCTAACCCCAACCCACAGCCACATGTTTCTTTGGGTCTGAATGTCCTCTTGTAATCTTCAACTGTCAAAGCACAACAAAACAAAAGAACGAGGGGCAAAAAAATTATTATTGGTGTGTTCTTTCTCTTGACTCCCATGGGACATTTTCCAGATTCATGCCAAACCTACCATGCCCTCCAGCAGTCTGGGTTTGGGTACTGGCTTCATGAACTACCACAGAGGGCCCAGCTGCTGTTTCTGAGCGGTCTGAAGGAATGTACTCAGGAAGGCCAAGGCCACCAGTTCCTTCTTGCATGCCCGGAGGAAGGGTCACCAGCATTGATGCTGTGTCCACGAGTTTCTTTAGAGCTTTCTTGATCTCCTTATCAGCACGCTGAAGCGAGGCCTGGACAGAAGTCTCCATCTCTGACTGCGGGGAAGTCATTCCTACAGACAAGAACAATAGCTTTTCTCTCTTCAGGGTAAAAAGATAACAGCATCATCATCTAACCCGTGGAAATATTTGCAATTGTATAATTTTCCCTTCCTCAGCAAAGAGCTGATGCAGAAATGCTTAGTGCAACAAGAGGGGATGTAGCTAAGACTTAAAATAAGAAGGTTGGCACAACACGCTTCAGAAAGACATATCTCCCCAGACTGAGGACACTGCACGCATGCACACACATCATCTCTCTGACAGAAGAACAAAGGATCCATCTTCCACTCTTCAACACTATGTTGGCTGCTCTGTCGAAAATGCCTTTATTAAGATCAATGGAATTAACCCAGCAGTGACCCATTGCACTGATACAGACCCTGTGTTCAAGGAGGATGTTATTCTCGCAGGAAAGGAGAAGAAATGAGCAGGTACCAGCGTCACTGGTGACTCTGGAGAAGGGCAGGGGAAAGAAGGGATGGCTGTTCTGCTTCATGAGCCTCTAAGTGTGAAAGAAAAGCTACTCCACGCTCTAGAGTAATGTGTTCATCCTACTTTACAGTATCTGAATATTTTTGGTAGGATTTGCACTAGAAGGTACCTGTGACTTCTAATAAATAACCAGACTATGGTTCTAGAGTATCTTTCAAAGGCAAAATCACCTGGTCTGTACTGTAATGTACAGCAGTTTTGTATAAGGAAGCATTATACAAAGGAAGATATAAATCCTGCCTCATTAAACTCACAGTCTTGAAGGCAGAGGGAAGACATTAAAGCTGCCTACAGAGAAAGATGGATTTTCAAGCATATGTCTTTTCAGAATGGCCACCCAGGAGACAAATACCACAGTCTCATCCCCAATCAGTGTGGCAGAAGAAGCTAGGCTAGGATGGGATCATAGGACCTCAGGAGTTCATCTCAACCAATCTCCTGCCCATACACCTTCCACAAATCTTGAAGAGGCACTACAAACGGTCAGACAATATCGAGGGAAACCCTCAAGTGACTATTAAGACATACAAATACATGTCAAACTAAGACAATTTGTCATGATCACGATGTGATTGCTTGTCAAGCAAGAGTGCAAACTCGAATCATCATGTGGTTCAAGAAAAAATAGGAGCACTTGCATACAAATGGCTCTGGCAACTCTGTTGTTCACATAGGAGCATGTCCTGTAGCTGTTTTGATTCTGCTCCTATCCCAGCCTTAAAAAAGTAAATCCCTGTGATAGACTTTAGCAGGTAAAGTTGAAGGGTATGTTTGGATTAGCCCCCTTTGAAGATATCTCACTTGAGTTTTGTTTTCAATGTCCTTCCCATGAGCACAGTGTTATGAAATATTTCAGTTCTGGGTTTGTTGATGGTAAAAACAAGTTTTGCTCACATGATGTCCCAGACTGCCCATCAATGTTCATCATCTTTAAATATTTTCCTACATAACTACTTTGATTGTCTGGTGTTCCTGTTGTGATTGCTGCCAACTGGTGCTGTCCTGTGAGCTGGACAGCTGCCAACAAGTGAACCGTTTGGAAAGGCATAAAACACTCTTGGTAGCTCCCAGTGAGAAAATATATTCCCAGGTATATATATACAGGTTATACATCACCATAGGTCTTCCCCATGCCATTTTCCTCCCTATTTAGGGCTGTTGCACATGACGATTAAAGCTGCTGACCTGAGGAACTTTTATATTAGCTGAGGCACATCAAACTAATGCCACAGTAATGACAAACCTATGATGGGCAGCCTGCTTCCCAATTCTAAAATCTCAACTCTGAACCTTTCTGCCTCACATCTCCTTCAGCCAATAACCAGGAACACAAGACTGATGCATATTTGAAGTTCCAATCCAGCCTCAAAGAAGGACCCAAGAGGATGAACATCATTGGAAATTATTGACTCATAGATATGAAAGTGTCTCTAAAACCAGGTTCTTTCATTTGAATACTGCTGAAGTTGTTAATAAAAAAAGAAGCCAGAGCCCAACTGCATTAATGTTCTTTGGTTTGCCACCTAGATTCTGCTGAAGTCAATGGGAAGCAGATGAGCTGGTGGACTATCAAGTGCCGTGAACAGAGAAGAACACAGAAACCCAGTGAATTCAGTGACAGCTGATGCAAGATGTTTATTGACATAAACTCAGCATCTAACAGCATATTTGATTTTTTTTTTGTGTGCTTTTTCTTTTTGTATGTCAAGCAAACTGAAGTTTCCAATTTATCAATACCCATTTACCTGCAGGAATTTTAGTAAAACTTTCTTTGTATTAAAATTTTTAATACAGCTGTATGTTTTCATCTACAAGAAATAAACCCCCACACATCTCATTAGTTATCTACACAGTTTAATCACTTACAAGCATAGTTTTTAACCTCTAGGAAAACATTTTGAAAGTATATGTAATGAACTTTCCATAAACCTTTCACTTTTTGAACAGTCCTGCATAGAACTTTAAAAATTCCTTTCAATTATTCATCTTTTGCTTGAATTTCAAAAGAAAATGTAAACAGATGTTAATTGCTTTGAGCTAATGGATCAAACTATAGTTATTTCTTCTACCGCCATCCAAACTGGAACCTTTTAACTTCTTTAGAAAAACCTGAGCAACCACAACAGGAGGAAATATCCATATTCCTTTACACATCTTTATTACCTTTTGGATTAATATTATATTTTTGAAGTCTATCGTAGGGCAAATTCTTTCTCAGCAGTATCTTTGCAAATCTGAATGAATTTCACTTCCTTCTGTGAAATTAATCTAGATTGATAATGAAACAACTGAGATCAGAATCAGGCCAAATATAAAAGAAATAATTTTAGTTTTGAAAGTATTTCCCTGTTGTATGTCTGTTACTTTCCAACGTAGAGTGCAATATATGAAAAAAGCACTAATATATATCCATCATGTTGCTTAATTATAAAACAAACAGTATAAACCAAGAAGATGTCATAAAAAACCCAGGAGAGTAACATAAAAGAGGCTTGAGTTATTTCATCATATATAATCACTGGAAAAGCATCCTTTATCAGCAGGGCAGTGAACATGATATTACATGTAATATCCTATTTGGATATTGAAAGTAAAAGGCTGTGAAATCAATATGTTAATTTTAGTCAGCACATTACCAAGGTGCAGCCACAGAAAGAAAAAGAATAGTGTTTTCTTTTCTACAAGCACCTTTTGTAAATTCAGTCCCTGTTAGTGGGAATATTCCCCATAGGACTCCATAACAAGCTCCACATAATTACCTAGCTGGGAAACACTGAGACAACATCATGCATACATTTCCAAGACAGAAACTCACTCAATCCTTTCTCTTCATGCTATTTAGAAATTCAGCTGTGACTGAGCATTTCTGGTTTCCCT